GACAGGGTCTGGGTCAGGACCCAGGGTACGTTCTCAGCCCGACACTCCCTTGGCTGTCCTGGCCGTGTAGGGTCGAGCCACACAGGACGTGTCCAGCCCCAAAGCTTTCCAGGCCTTCCTCTCTGTCTCCTCAAGGGACAGGTGCAGGGCAGGGTGGCTCGTGGCCTCAAAGTCCCTTGGTGTTTTTGTCTGCACCTTGTCCCATCACTGGCTCCTGCATTCATCCAGCCCATTTGTTCAGTCACCCGGCAGAGGGCCCGCATGGGAGTTGCAGGCAGATGAGCTAGGTCCTGTTCTCAGGAGTTTTGTGGGTGAGTGGGTGGGTGGCATGGGGCGGTGAGTAGACAAGCAGGCCTGAATTTCCCCGACCATACTCCTGAGGGTGGTTCTATTGCCTCTGGCGGGGATCCTCGGGCCGGGGATCCTGGAGGTGGTTCAGGGGCACACTAGGTTGTCGGTCCAGCATGGCCGGGTGGAGGCGTGCCCACTGGGCACTGCTTGGCACATGCTCCTTGTCTCTGGGCTATTTCTTCCCAAGCTCCTGGGTGATGGCCAAGCTCGTCACAGCCTGGGCACTCCCAGCTCGACTGCATCTGGGGCAGCGGACGGGGCGTGCGAGCCTGCAGCCCTCTCGGGGTTTGCCAGGGTGGGCGGGATGTGAGGGGGAGGCATCTGGGGGCCAGCTGGGTGCGGGGAGCTCATGGCTGCCAAGAGCCACCCTCTAGGGGGTGATGTCGGCGGGCTTGGCTGTGTCTGAGATGCTGCTTTCTAGGGGCTTTGGTAAATGAGGAGGGTGCTCCACATCCTGGACTGGCTGCTCCCAAGGGCTCAACCTGGCCCACGAGGCGGAAGCTGAGAGCTGACCCTTGGAGCATGAGCTGTAGATGTCTCCATGGTTCCTGTGGCTGTGTTTGCAGGAAAAACATCTGTGAGGGTTGGGTGTGCTTGGAAGGGGGTGGGGGAACCTCACACTTGGTAGAAGAGCTGAGATCCATAAGGATGAAGGGTCCTGGGAGAGTCACCTCCTGTTCTTCCAACTCTTGGGTCCAAGCAGCTCAGTCTCTTCACAGACACCCTGAAGAGTAGGCTGTAAGGGAACTATCCCTCAGCGTGGGCAGTTGAGACCCAGACAGGGGCAGATGTGGCTCTGGTTCCAGCGCTGCTCTGGAACCTTCCAGAAGAAACTCACCCTCCACTCACGTCCAGAGGAGGGAGGAGTTGGGGTGAAGAATGCTGGGGGCTGTTCTCATGTGGAGTTGGCATCATGACAGGCAGGCTGGGGGTCACACCGGGGAGAGTGGGAAGGTGAGGCAGACAGTGTGGTGGGGGCAGCTCAGGCTTCTCCTGTTGCTGTGAGAATGCACCTTGGGGTCGTGGCCCAGAAGGCCTGGTGCCCACCCACACGGGAGCTGCCTGCAGGGATGTGGGCCACTGTGCCTGGCCCGTGGAACCCAGAGAGAAGGGTGGGGCCCGGGAGGGGTCAGTCTGCCATGCTGAGTGACGCTCTGGACCTTGGGGATGACCTCAGCATTCCCCCTGACCTTTGACCCTTCCCTTGCCCCAGCAACTCCTAGATCCTTGGGGCAGAAAGAAGTGGGGGCAAGGAGAAGGGATGGGTGGGTGGGTGCCTGCCGCCCCGCACTGTCTCCCTGCCTTGAAGACCATGTGTCTGGGTCTCCCGTCCTCCGGCCAGCCTGACTGCTGGAGGGCCCCCTGGGGGGCCTTGGCCCTGCGCTAAATTCAGGGTAGCTTAGGAGGCTGCGGCTCTGGCTGGATCTCAGATTAGCGGGGCTTTGGCTAAACAGGTTCACCCTGTTCCTGGAGGCCCGAGGACCCATCTCTGATGGGCTTGGTCCTGCTCCCTGGGGGCTGTGGGAAGTGAGGCGGACCCCTGGGCAGCCCTGGGGTTGATCAGCTCACGCCTGAGCTCTAGGCCCTGGTCCCAGCATGGAGGAAGGCCCGTCCACGGGGCAGGGCCATAGACCTTGCCCATAGCTGCTTTGGCCCCACGCTTGGCTCCTGCCTGTGCTGGTACAGCCCCAGGACAGCCCCGACTCCCAGCCCTGCCCTGGAATAATCTCAGGCACCCTCCTCAGCTGGCCCCAGGCAGGTGCCATTCTGAGGTTTGGCTGGCCAACCGGCAGGCCCCTCCTCTTCCAGAGGAAGAGGACCTTCCTTTTCCCCGGACTGTGGCTGACATCCTCAGGCCCCGTGATGGGCCGGGCCCTTCTCCCCCTACAGATGCTGAGGCTCAGAGACCCCAGGCCTGGCTCAGGCCTTGGGTCCTCCGGCCGCCCACGCGCTTTGCCTCAGCCTCCTCTCTGCTCAGAGGCCCCACGCTTTGCAGCCTCCCCTGGCTCCGAGTGGGCCTGCCAGCCACGGGCAGCTTCTCCCCCCTCTGCCCTGCCCCCGCTCGCTGCCCGCTGCCCGCTGGCCCCACGCCCTCACTAACCTGTGATTGTTTGTGTTTTGCAGGCAGTTTCTTGATTCGGACATGCCTAGGTACCATTTGTGCCCCCTGGTTTATTTCAGCCTCTCTCCTTCCCCTTCTCCTTCCCCAGTCTCACAGCCCTGGAATTTAATTTTGGCTTCTTAGATTCTTCTACCCTTGCTCACCTCTCCCTCCTGTTTCTCCCATCTTCTTCTTTAGTTTTATTTCCTTGGGATACTTTTTGAATTTTTTTTTATTGCTTCTCCGCCCCCCCCCCGCCCCCCACCTTGGCTGAGTTCCTTCTGCCCCCACTCTTGATTTTGGCTGCTTTGGTAGTTTCCTGCCCTTCTGTAGCCGCTGGCTGGCCTCCTGCTCCTCTCACCCCTGAGCCTTGCCCGCCCGTGAGATCCCCACCCCTGCGAGAGCGGGAGCAGGCGCCCTGCATGTAGGCTCGCCGGCCAGGCTGCCCTTGGCTGCAGAGCCCCACTTCCCGCCAGGTGAAAGAGGGAGGCACGGAGGGATGGGCCATAGTGGGCACAGGACGGGGGCAGAGAGGACCCAGCCCCGCCAGGAGACCCCACTTTGCACCTTCCACACTGGATGAGGTGAGCCCTTGTCTGGCCAGACCGGAGGCTCCAGCCACATTCCTGGTGTGGCCACCACACACTCTTGGGTAGTAGGTGGGGAGTGAAGTTGTGAAGGGCCACGAAGTCTCGGGACTCACTCGAGTGGTCCCAGGTCCAAAGCCCTGGAGGCCTGGGTTCCTGAGCAGAGGACCGCAGCTCCCCCCGCCCGACCTGAGTGTGGCCCTGTCTGCAGTGGCCAGGTGTGGGTCAGTGAGGCTCCAGGGTGGACAGCCTCACAGTCCCTAATCTAGACTTTGTCCTTGAGACTCAAGTCTGTTCTGAGTGGAAGGTCAAGGCTGTCACCTCTTGGGTCCCTATGGACTGTGAGCTCCCTGGCAGTGGTCCTGTGGGTCAGCTGTTTTGGAAGATGAAGTGGGCAGCGAGAAGGCTTCAGCATGAATGTTTGAGCCTTTAAGCTGCACGGAACAGGGTCAGGGATGGTGCCCGCCTGTTTTCTGGACAGAGCCCCAGGGCGGGGTCCTTGTCAGGTCACAGCTGGGATGGGTCAGGACAGATGGTCACTGTGAGTGTGCCCGGGCAGTTGTAGCTGAGGCCTCATGGGACAATGAGTTAGGCTGTGGTTCCTGTTGGTGTGTCCTCAAGAGTGCACGCGTAAACACCTATTCCAGGAACACATCTTTCCCAAAGACTGCTGCAGGCCCTCCCTGGGACATGCAGCTGGGTGAGCAGAGAGAGTCCCTCTGTCAAGGGAAAACCGTGGTGGTAGTGGCTGCGCTGGTGAACAGGCACAGCCCTGCAGGGCTGGAGGACAGACCTGCCTCTCCCAGGCAGTCGGGCGGGCTTGCTGGAGGAGGCGGCCTGCTAGCTGATCCTGGAGGCAAGCTGGGCTGGCCGAGGCGGCTGCAGCCTGCCCAGGCAGTCTCCCTATTCTCAGAAGGCTCCAGGCTGGGAGTCCATCTGCTTGGCTTCATTCTCTAGAGTGGACCCAATCCAGGGCTGTTTTCTTGATGAGTGGAAACTTCCAGGCCCATCAGTATGATTGCATGGGGTGTTGTAGATATTTTGTTCAAGTTTGCATTTCCACAACCGGCTGAGTTTTGGTCCCAGACATCCCCATATACAAACACATCGTGGTTTTAGGAAGGTTCTGGGTGAAGTGGAAGCAGGACTCTGTGGCCAGGAGGACCTGGCACCAGGGAAGGAGAGGGACAGATTCTCCTTTTCAGCAAGGCCTCCTTCACCAGCCTCTGGACTTCAGGGAGCCCTCACCCCTCTACCTGAGCAGAGGGCCCAGCCCCCTGATTCCAGAGGTGGGTTCCTTGGCCCCTGGTGGGCTTGACCTGCAAGAGGAGGCTCAGGGCACTGAGAGGGAAGGGGGCTCAGGGCCCCAAGATTCAGGCCTGCGGCTCCTCCACGGGACCGGTTCTAGGGGCAGGAGCTGCTGTGGTGGGCGGTTCCGGGGACAAGCAGAGGGTGAGGGCGTGGTGGAGGGAGCGTCTCGTCTGGAGCGGGACAGAGACCTGGGGCTGTACCGACTGGGCTGGGGCAGCCTGACTGTGCCCTTGGCTGGCTGTGTGAGTGTGGACAAGTAGCAGAATGTTCTGGAACCTTATTTTCCTTCCCTCTCAGAATGGGAATAATATTAGCCCCTGTCTGAGGTTGTTGTGATATTAAATGAGATTTTACATGAAACACTCTTAGCACGAGGCTTTGCACAGGTAACTTTATAAATATGAGTGTGTGGTTATTATCACTACCACCTGGTTAGTATTTAACTTAAAATACTCCTAATTAATTTAAAATGCATAGCCTCTGAGCAAAAAGTGTGTTTTTTTATACTAACCACTCCAATTTTGCCCACCGGGCCGCGCTAAGATACCTCAGTGGTGGCTCACACACACAACTCACAGAGCCACCCAGAGCCGGGGGGTGGGGGAGGAGGCGAGGAGGAGAGTTCGTGACAGGGAGACTTGGTTCGAACCTTCCACCCCTTTCTTGCCTCTTACCCAGGCTTCAGCCTGCTTCTGCCCACGTGACCCCTAGAGCGCTCAGGTGTTGAGGAGGAGGTTGGGGAGCAGGGTAGCCTGCTCCCCTCTCTCTAAAACGAGGTCCCGAGCACGGCACATAGATTAGAGGGCTGAGGACGAGGAGCAGCAGGCAAGGCTGGGGCGGCCTCACTGGAGAGAGGGAGGGGGCAAGAGTGTGGGCACTCAGTCCTGGCCGTCTCCACTCTGGGCCTGTTTCCCCGGAATGTGAGGGTCCACGGGATGATGGCGTGACCAAGCCCGTGGAGAAGCTCCATAGAGTTGGCTCAGATGCTCTGCTCACGAGACTGCCTCACCCCAGCATTTCCACCTCAGCAGGTCTGGAGTGGGGCCTGAGAATCTGCGTTGCTAACTGTTCCCTCGTGATGCTGATGCCTTGGGTCCAGGGACCCCAGTGGGCAGCATGTCACCCCTCATAATTGTATCTGAGGGGGTGGCTGAATGTTGCGTGGGGTAGAGTGAGGAGCACTGTGTGGAATGGGGGCTCCCTTCCTGGGGCGACCTGATGCCCAGACAGATGCTGAGAGGGTCCTGGTGTGGTCCCCACAGCCTCCGGTCGCATCCTGCATGCACCGTGCCTCCCTCTCAGCCACTCTGGGTCTTTGTTTCCTGCCACATGATGGAGGGGGCACCGATCAGTGGTTCCCACACTATGTCCTGTGAGCTCAGGGGGTCCCACATGGCCGCCTGGGTCCCACATGGGTATGCTGCCACCCTGCCCCACCCCGAGCACACCCACTGTCGGCTGCTCTGATTCTTACTCAGGGTCTGAGTGAGACCTCCCTCTGCAGAGGCTTCAGGGGCACGGAGGCTCGAGAGTGTTGTTGAGGACCCTTCCTGCCCAGGGCTCCAGGGTCGGGCACCTGTGGCTGTGTGGAGCCACAGCTGGCTGCCTGCTGAGGGTTGGTCTGCAGTAAGCTGCACGGGGCTGGGGGCTGACCGTGGGTTTGGAAATGGCCAGTGGGCAGCATCATGGCCGTGCCAGGTGGACCCTGGTCCAGTTGGCCACCCTTGGCACTTGGATGATGGGGCTGCAGACACGAGCCCAGGATTGCCCCCTCCCACCACCCCACCCTTCCCCGCACGTGAGACCCACCAGAGTCAGGTTTCTGGAGAGATTCTAGGTCGCTGGAGTTCGATCACGGCAAAGCTATATCCTAACTTGACTGCCGGCTCTCAGCCAAGAGCCTCTCAGAGGGGGCCTCGGTTGGCCTCATGTGGAAGCAAGTTTGTTTCTCCTTACAGCCCCAGGCCTGGGTTCTGGCACAGTCGGCCCCTGGGTGAGCCCTAGGGGCTTCGGTTAGCCTGACTGGGTTGGCTCTTTGGCATGTCCCACCCAGGGGTGAGGGTCCCCAGGACGGGTGGAGTCCTGGCTCCTGATGCTTGAGGCGGAGCTTGGGCCAGTTCTCTCCCGAGGGCGCACAGAAGCAAGTGCATGCTGATGCTGGTCCCTGATCCTGGGGCCAATGGGCGGGGTGGGGGTGGGCTGGGTCCACACACCAGAGCACTTGCAGTGGAAGAGAAGCCAGCAGCGTCCTTTAGCAACTTTTGAGGCAGGTGGACAGAGGGTACAGCACTGAGCCGAGTCCTTGGGTCGAGTGGGAAGATTTGAGGCTGGCCTACCAGGGTAGGGGCCCGCAGACTAGGCCTTTCCCAGTGCCTTGTCGTCAGGGCCTCCTGGAGGTGAGGACCGGTAATGACGACAGTGACGCTAACGTATGTGCCCGGGGCCCTGTTCTCAGCCAGCCTGCGTGTTAGCTCACTTAACCTGCAGGACAACTTGATGAGGCAGGGACAGCAACTGCCTGTCCTTCCAGGAAGCAGGACACAGAGACGTCCGCTGAGAGCCCAAGGTCATACGGCTGTGAAGGTGCCTTTGGAGCTAGGCAGTCTGGAGGGCATTTGTTCTGGGTCGGGCGGCAGCAGGCCTCTGGCTCTGCCTGCAAGCCGGGCCCCACAGACCCCAGGGTGTTTGGGGGCCCCCCAGGATGGAGCACGTCCCTTTAGGTTTGGTTACGGTTCCAAGGGTGCCTGCCTGGTCCTGCTGGAGACAGACCCAAGGCTCTCACTGCAGACACAGGGGGAAGGGGCTCTGAGTGGGCCCCCCCACAGTGAATGCCCCATGGGCCATGTCTTGACCCGTGAGATGGCGGTCAGCAGCCTCCGCGGCCGCGTGGCACAGTCACTTAGCTTGTACCCAGCCGGGCGACGGTGCTTGTTCTGACATGTGAATTTCTTCTGTGTGTGTACGTGTGTCCTGGCTGCCTCCGCCTTTAGCGTTTCATTCGGAAATGACACTAGGTACAGCTCACTTTTCTCTTCCGCACTCGCTGGTCTGTCCTCTTCTGCTTTTCAATTTCCTTTCTCCTCTGACGTCTTCCCCCTGCTCTTCCATTCTCTGGTTACCCTGCTGTCCCACGTCCCTCCCTCTGGATCTTTGTCCTCTGTGCCGTGTGTCCGACAGCAGCCTGCCCCGTCCCTCTGCTTCTCCCCACGCCCCTGGACTGTGCCATGGAGAGACAGGTGGCCGTGGTGCTGTCCGTGCCCCGACGCGGCTTTGCTCCCCGGGCGCCCTCCACGCTCCTGGGTGGTGCCGGCGCTTCAGAAGGGGCCCAGCAGTGGGGGGCGAGTGCCGCTGCCCGGCTGTTTGTGTTGACGTGTTTCTCAACTGTTTCTTTGTGAGGATGCTTGGATGGAAACTTGGCGAGGCTGGGGGCTGGGCAGTGCTGTCTGGGGCCCACAGTGCAGCCACCTGGTGGCTTGAGGCAAATTCTCCACCCCAGATATGAAGGGCCTCAGAACATGCGCCTGGCCCAAGGCAAGAGTTTAGGAGCTCTGCCATCAACGGTTGAAAACAGAAACCATCATGTAACAGAGAACCCTGTTCTGGAGTGGAGGCCACTGATGTGTCAGTGGAGCCAACATCCTGGCCTCCTGAGGATAGCCTGAGCTGCCTCCTGGGAGGGATTTTTGGGCCACTGGCCCAGGCTCTGCTCAGTGTCTTTCTGGGTCAGAGATCAGGGACAGAGAGAAGAGACTACTGCCCGCTCTGTGCTAAGTGGAGAGCCGCCTTCCCACGGAGCCTGGCCACGGTGGGCAAGAGCGACGCCATCTGCCACGGGCCACCCTGGTTTCCACTCCAAGCATCCTCCCCTGAGGGGCCCTTCTCTCCCGAGGGCAAGTCGGTTGGTGGAGGAGACGGGCTGGGGGTGGTTTTGGCAAACCCGGCAGGTTCCCTGGGTCCAGGGAGAGGCCCTGGCTCCTCCTTACTCAGACCGAGGCTGAGGCCTCTGCTTCCCGCTCTCCCCCCATCTCTCGTCTCTCTCTGCTTCTGTCTCCCCTCTCCCTTCTCGTCCTCTCCTCCCTCCTCTTTCCTCTCCGCCCCGCCTGCCTATCTTTCCCCATCCTCGCATTTCCGCTGCAGCTGGTGAGCTGTGGCTAAAACATCCCATCCTTCCACCTCACCCATCCACCCATGGTGGAGCTGAGAGAGCTCTGGGGCTCCTGTGGTGGCCTCTGGAGTCCCCCACCCAGCGTGGTCCTGAGTAAGGAGGTTCTGCCCTTCCCAGACACTGCCGGGGCTTTCAGACCTGCAGCCCTAGCGGCTCTCCCTGCGGGTCACCCACACGTCTCTCTCTGTCTGTCTGTCCGTCTGCATGTCCCCAACCCAGCTGAGAGTGGCCTGCACGCTGTTATCTTTTACCTCATCTCTGCTTCCTTCCAGGACCTTTTACCAGTTTGAGGCTGCGTGGGACAGCTCCATGCACAACTCTCTCCTGCTGAACCGGGTCACCCCCTACCGAGAGAAAATCTACATGACCCTCTCTGCTTACATCGAGGTAAGAAACCTATGCCCAGGGCATTCCACCAAAATCGCCCATCCCACAAGCCTGAGTTGCTTGCCGAGGGGCAGTGAGGGCGCTTGTTAGCCCTGGACAGCCCCAGACAACCCTGTCTTTTCTCAGAGGACTTCTCAAGTCATTGTTAAATCCATGTACTTTTAATGGCAGTGCTCACAGTTAACCTACTCTACTATCTTTAGTGTGTCGATTTGTCCTTGTGGTTGCAAGATGGCTGTGGCACCACCACACATTGCATCTATGTTTCAGGCAGGACGAAAACAGAAGCCTCCCCCACCCCATCCCCAGGGTCTTGGGCCTCTTGGGCTTCAAAGCACAGGAGGGGACTGGGAGTGTGGGCGTTACTAGCTGGGCACAGTAGTGGCAAATTAGGAGGTTTGGGGTTGGCAGCCAGCTGGACAGCGGAGGGGAAGGCATCTGCCTCCCCTCAGAGCCTGATTGCTCCAGCTATAAGGTGGGGACCGCCTAGTGGGATGGTGGTTTGCTTGGGCTGAGAAAATGCTGGCAGGCAGAGCTCTGTCCAAACAAGCTCCCAGGACACATCAGCCTTGTCAGCAGTTACCAAGAGCTTCAGGAAACAAAAGAGCCAGCTGTTTAAGACAGCACCCCGATCGCCATGAAGTCATTTTCTGTGGCATTTTAGAGTTAAAACGTGGGTGCACAGACAGGATCTGGTTTGATCCTCATGCACATTTCTGGGAGTGTGTCACCCCAATTTTATGGTGAGGCAGCTGAGGCCCGAAAGGGAGAGGCCTGTGTCTGGGACCCTCAGGGTCCCTTGCACAGACACCCAGCCCTCTGGCAGCCCCAGGGAGGCAGGGCCCTGGCTGTCTCTCTCCGGCAGGAATTGGCTCAAGGCGGGAGCAGAGACCTTCTCCCGCCTGGGTCTGGGGCCATGCCGGGGGCGCCCGGAAGGCGTGGGGCTGCCAGTCAGTGTGGCACGGAGGTTGGAAGGGGGCCTGGGGCCAGGGCAGTCTTGGGGCATCCTTGTGCTGAGCCCCTGTCCCTGCCCTGCCCGCTGCAGATGGAGAACTGCACCCAGCCGGCGGTCATCACCAAGGACTTCTGCATGGTCTTCTACTCCCGCGA